TTTACAACGTGATTTAAACGATTTGATTGGTTAGCATTTTGTAACCTATCAGTTGTTATGCGAGACGAGTCTCAATCGCTAGAATCTATTTCCAATTTTATTATAAAGTGATTCATTGAGTAAAGATGATATAGAAATTATAAACTGTAGTATAGAATTATTTACATTGTATAAATATTTGATAGGTATTTTATTTGTACGCTTTGTATTGATCTATATGAAATAAATTGTGTTATTTTCTCAATATCAATATTATTGTTCCTAAAATCATTGTAGGCTATTTACGATTTATCAATATATTAACCCAACACTGAGACTTGCAATAGGGCCAAACTATTGTGTTCTTCTTGCTACACCAGATTGTTAGTTTTTTCCACAGAAAATTGCAATTGTACATTGTTACTTAATCTATAATAAAAAATGTTGTTAGATTCATTTCCAATCAGATTTCAATCCAAGAGTGTGGTTTTTCCAAATCAAACTATTAGATGTCGTAATAAGATTGGTTGGTCATACAAACTACCAGAGACTTGTGTATATTCCAATACATAATGATATACAAAATAATATCCATATGAATATATAAAAGTCTATGGCCAACCCGAGCGATCTTGTGTACAAAAAATGTAGATTTCTTAAATAAGATCCTTTAGTGTCTGATGTTATGAATCAGTTGATTCTGTGAAACTTGTGTGACTGGTATAGAAACATGAATTAATGATGAAAAAAATGATATACGTAACTAGATCATCTTATTGTATAGTATCCTGTATAGACAAAACGTGATGCTTCAATACACTGCTCAATGTTTCATTAACTATAGAAAATATTGACATTAGATGAAAGGAGAGTATGTTCGAGGCCTCAAACTTTCACTTTATCACTCGGATGTTCCTACGACCTAATATCTAATATATAAGTCAGATAAAGCTTAAGCAGCATAAGCTGACAAGTACAGCATGTAAATTTTAGTGACGGCATTTTTTGAAAAAGGCCTGTAGGATTTCAATGGAGAATACTCATAGTCACACTTTGAATCTGAATCTTTATAACTCGACCATTCAAGATAGAATCAGAATACAAATAAAGTTATGTATTTGTCCAGTCTAATTAAACCAAATCAAAATATTGATCGCGTCTCAAAATCTCAACTTTGGAGAAGGCCGTTATTAGACCCTAACTGAAGTGGCTATATTAAAAATATAAGCGAACGAAAGTTTGGTCTAATTATTCGACAGGTAGCTCAGCTATTTATCATACAAAAATAAATAAGCTGGCACTAGGTTCGTGTTCAATATATGAAAGGATGGAGAAAGAGGGAGCTAGTGGTAGTGCTTACTCTGTCGGTGCCTCATGCAGTCATCGTTTTATTTTCAAGTCGATAAATGGAAAAAACGGTTCCTGAGATCCTGAGAGGGTTTCCCTCGCAAGAAAGAAATTAGAAACAATCTATATTGAAAATATCATTATGTACTATAAGTTTCCGATAATACAGTTCTGTTTCAATAAACACAGTTATTCAAGGATTAACTATGGTTTGTTACGTTGACATTATTGACCTGCAACGTGAAAATCACTTCATACGCAACGGTTATGAACATGAAGGCAAATTATATTGACAAGCAGAGAAGCAGAACATTTAATTAGAGAAAAGGGGAAGAAATGTTTAACTATTGTTTCGTATCTCAATGAATTGTTTAGGTTTGTCAACCAGTTTTAAAGAACATACTTAACCAACAATTAGAAGTATTGTATTCAATAGAAAACTGCAGAATATCGATTTTTAAAATCAATAAATCAATATTTACCCAGTCTTACCATGACCAATATCTCTTTCTATTTATTTACAACAAATTGTTTTGAAAAAAGGTTATTTGAACCAGACCTGCACATCCTTTGTTTTATTATCAATTGATTATTTTCACTCTTTATGACAGGAAGACGACATAATGTCCTTACAGAGAATGAAGTTTCCTGGGGAAGTAAAATTACGGCACTGCAGATTGTGTTCTGGATGTCCTTTGTCCTCTTGGGAATTAGAAGGAACAAATAATCAAACATGATTCACAAGAGCTTGTTGTCAGAAACTATCAGATACCTAGAATACTAAGAACTTGGGGGTTTATCTAGAAAATGCCTGATGAGGAGGCCAAAAATGAATGGCGTAAAATGGCGAGGCCCTAGAGGCTAAAGCCCCTTCTGAAACGGGTCTGGGGCCTGTCGGAGGCCTGTGATAAATTTTGGGCATATGGAGGGCTTAACTTTCACATGAGAATAAGACCTATTACAGACCCGAGGAGAGGGAATAGACCAATAGACCCGTTAGTTAACGTCACGTTAACAATTCACAAGGTAAATTGGTTACGTTTACAATTCACAAGGTAAATTGGTCACATTAACAATTCACAAGGTAAATTGGTCACGTTAACAATTCACAAGGTAAATTGGTTACGTTAACAATTCACAGTCTAAACTGACCACATAAACAATTCACAGTCTAAACTGACCACATTAACAATTCACATGGTAATTGTTTACATTAACAATTTCCAGAGTAAATTGGCCATATTAACAATTCACAAGGTAAATTGGCCACCAAATTAACAATTCATTGGGTAAAGTAGTCACATTAACAATCCACGGGGTAAATTGGAAACATTAACCATTCATCCCCATATTTACACGTCACATCACCCCCACACTAATAATTCACAGAGTAAATTTGCCACAACGACAATTCACGGGGTAGATTGCTCAAATTAACAATTCGCAAGGTAAATTTTTCACTAAATATTGTCTGTAAAAATCATCATATACTCAGTAACTCATCGAGGTAGACTGATAAGATAACAATTAACAATTCACATGGGAATTGCTCACAATAACAATCCACGGGTATATTGGTCCATGTGACCTCTTTTCTTTGTGACCTTATTACTGTGACCTACTAATGTTTAACTAGTCAACATAACTGTGACCATTTTTCAATTTTACTTTGTCACATGGCAATTTTACAATGTGACCAAATTATATGTGAAATTGCACTAGTTTTCATGTTCATTCACGTAAAGATCATTTCGATTTTTAATTCTCCTAGAAAACAGGCTTCCAACTAAATTGTAAGTCTATATAATAAATTCAAATCGATATCTACATTCTATAATTTTTTTTTTTCCCTCGAGAATTCAACTTTATTCATCACATAATGTAGATCCACCATATACTAATTTAATTTAACATACGTCTGTCTATCCACGCGATTACAAAATTGTATGGGTTATGGGTCCAGTCCAGTAGTTGTCACAGATCTGAGTCTTTTTACTCCACAGGCGAGAATAGTGTGGGCCGTTTCAACTTGCTGAAAATGTTTGTGTCCGTAGATATTGCCGTAATGAAAGGTAGAAAACAAGAAAAAGAACAATCCTGTCTATCAACTTATCCTTACCTCTCTCGGATTATCAGTGTCCATTTAGACCTACAGCTGAGTCGACTGGAATATTGAGAATAACTAACAAAAGTAGACTGAAACATCTGTCTCTATTCCAGCCTCTGATAGCTATTTGGACAATTGTCAGCTGATATAGAGACAGAAATAATAAGCTCTGTTAAATGGAGACATTCCGCATCTCTGCAGGTGCGGGGGTTTTAAATCTATTTAGATACCTTGGATCTGCAAAACCCATTGAAGGCTATATTTGGAAAGATGAATATTTTTGTAGTTCAGTCATGCCATCATATTCTCCCTACACTATTTATGTGATTCTACGGTTCCATCAAAGTTTTATTTTGCCGAAACTAATCTAGCATCGGCCATTTTAAACTGCGTGCTCAGTCAAAAGTTTAAAGGTCACAGAGTCACGTGATACTAACAAAACAAAAGTTATATACGGTGATGCCCAACACTAATTTACAAATATCTTAAAGGTAATTCAATATTGGGTTAGAGAAAACGCATCTTTGGAGGTGTGGAAAATCCCCATTTTACAGGGTCTTTTTCTTCTGACTCTACGCCAGCTGACAACTGTCAAAATATCCATCAGAGGCTGGAATAGAGACAGATATTTCGGACTAATTCAAAAGGTCGGCAAATCACGACCTACCAAAATAAGAACACACGACCACCATTCGTACGAAATCTAACCGATTGTATTAACAGCTCGTCCTTATATAATATAGCCCAGTTTCTGTCTGTGACACATTTAACCAAGACCACCTGGACCAACATGTGGTTGCAATTTCAAAGTTTGCTGTCAAAAGAATTCAAGTCAAATTATCCAAAATTAACTCGTTCCTTATAAAAAAAAAAATAATAATAAAAAAAAAAAAAAAAAAACAATCAGTGGCCTTGTCCATGGTTGGCCCTGTAACGAATGGGTACATTGGTCTTCATATTCATTTTTTATTTAGTAATGGAGGTAATTATTGATGTACATATATAGCATAATTCAATGAGTTTTAAGGTCTTCGATTAAAAAAACGGCATATAAATAAATATTGCCCTAATTAAAACATAACTATTCGTTCAAAATTGTATTGTTTGGATTCGTCAAATCCAATATGAAGTAATTAATATACATAATACTTCATAAATGTGGTTGCTTCAAATGTGTATTTATATAAAAGAAATGCCCATCATAGTACATTGTGGCTTTATGCCTGTAAAATTTATAGGCTATACCACTATGTTATAACGTGTTCTTTGACCCGATATATAGAAACCGGCTTAAATGGTCTTTTGCGCAACTTTGGACCAGTCTATCCAATCACATTTATGTATTTGGCTCATTATAATAATCTTATTTAAGTCCTGGGAAATAAATCCCCTCAAAAAATAGTTCTCGCTTTTTTGCATCACTATACATTTTATTATTATTTGGCTCATGAGTGATATTTGATATCCCTTTATCGGTTTGTTTTGCCTTTTGATATTCCCTGGGCGATGGCAAGGTTGCGCAAAACAATGCGCAGAGCTGCATTTCTGTATGCAAATACTATGTTGTGAACGCCATCTTGAATTCGATAGGTGAAAGTAGTAGGGTTTATCGGGAAAATATCGTGTTAATATAGTGCCATCGGAGGCACATTTACACCTGTTTCTCTGTAGAAGAGCCTAAAGATGGCTTCTACAGACGGTAAGCTGTCTACGACGGAAAGGATAGTCAAAAGTAAGTGTGAATTATAGCCATTGACTTCGATGCCAGACTCGTCCGCCATATTAGCCTAGTTGTCAGCCATTATCATAAGTGTAAACGGGCAGATGGCATCGATGTCAGAATCTTATCTCGTTGTTGAGTGAGATATTGCAAAATAATCTTGTTCCCAAATGTCTTTGGGATCATATCTCCTTTCTTATATGCTCAAATTGACCTAAACTTATATAGAAAAGCTGAACAAGCAAACTGTCTACCTGGAATCTTGGATTCCTGACAGTGGCAGGGTGGACTAGAACGATTCCTGTAACTGGTGCCAATAAACATTTCTATCAGAGAGCCATATATTTTATGTTTGTGTAAAGATGAAAGATTTCAAATGTGGAGTAAATGATAGTGTTTTCAGTAAAGTGGGTCTAAAATAATCAACCTGTTGAATAGGCCTACATCATATAGGGCCTTGACATGGGCTTCCCCTGTTTATATTTATTTTATTGATTATTTGCCTAACCTGTCTCTGAAAAATAGCAGAAAATCTTGATATTAAATGAATCTACAATTCAAAAGGGTGTAGAATGTCACAGGAAAGCTGCTAATTCTATGATTTTGTTACCTGTACTGATACCGTACTTTAACTTTGACTTGGTGTAGGTCTACTTACTGGTATTAGTTCTCTGATGTAATATGAGTTATGCTAAAAATTATGTTAAATAGTGGTCCTCTGATTGCAACATAGTCATAGATATATCAAACTACAACGAAAAAAGGGCTACATCATTGTGCATAGTATTGTATACTTTTAATACATTTGCCAGTAACAATAATTTTAAATAGAAATTCAACAATTAATTTTGAGATGAATCTTCAAACTGCCAGGTGAGGTAGGAGCTGTAGAAAGCCTTTGTACATTGATCTTGAGACATTGAGTAAATCTCATTAATTACTCTTTGACATAAATGGAAAAACACAATATTAACCAAACCTAAGCACATATAATAAGTAAACTTTGAATAACCTGATTTAGTCACAATTCTTTCATTAAGTATACTTCAAAAGAAACAGGGAAAGAGGGTACGGTATAGAAAAAATATATAGATTGTCAAATTTTATGATAGACATCTTGTGGTTGCATCGTAAATTCTCTTGATAACAATTTTTTATGATCTTGACAATAAATTTATTAATGCACTTAAGCACTACAGACAACATTTCATATACCATTCATTTAAAGAGAAAACTTTACAAACAGCTACAAAGGAACTCAAAGTGGTGATGCAATCTCGATCCAGTATTTCTCCCTTATTCTACAGTGCATCTACTGTTTTGAGGAGTACCGAATAGACAACTATGCTTTGATTTTCAGGTGTTCCCTTCCCTCCTAGTCATAAGCTTACCATGAGTGAAGTATTTGATGCCAAAGGAAAACCAAGACCTGATGTGTTAAAACAACATTTTATATTAGAAGGACGTGTAACTGAAGATGTAGGAATTAGATTAATTAATGAAGGAGCTGCTATATTACGTCAGGAAAAGACAATGATTGAAATTGAAGCACCTGTCACAGGTAGGTCACCATACATGCAGAGATTTCTTCTATTTCTTTCTTCAAGAGAAAGATTATGATCTTATTATGAAATGCTTTACTTTCAGGGAGATTTTTTGTCTGACTGATCTTTTTTTCATTTTTATGGCTCCTCTTATTCCCAGACACCCATTTATAGGCCAGTAAATCACTCCTTTAGACTGTAAAACATTTAAATCTTTTCTTAAGCAATTTAGGTAGTATTAGTGTTTTTTATTTTTAATTGGAGTGAAAAATTTAGTGATTTCTGTTGTTAATTTATTGGCTTATTTTTAATGAATGTTATTTTTTTTTTTAAATGAATGATATTGCTTTTTCTTAAAGTATGATCAGACATCATTCTTGACCTTTTGTTCTCTTGAATTCTTGCTGATAGTGAATCCTTATAAAATACCACCTCAAACTCTTGGGAATAAACATAGGTGTCACATTTATACAAGGTCTGTGATTGGATTCTGACTGAATAAGTTCATCCAGTGATGTATGAACTAATGTAGCAATGAGAAAGGCCTTCAAAGAATTATCAATATTTTGTCTACTTTCCAATGAAACAAATGTGATCAGTTGTTTATTTTTTTCCTAAATATTTCAGACTTAAAAAAAATATTTTGGCTTTATGTGTAAAACCATAATTTGTAGGTCTATTAGTTTAATATTAGAATATGATATTTCTACTTTGTGGTATTTTTCTTGACATGCAGAGCTAGGAAGTTGACTACAGTAGCAACCATCGAAATGAAACCCTTGTTAAAAAATATTGTCATTCCAAATCTATTCATCAAAAAATTTTTCTCTTTGTTTCAGTATGTGGGGATATACACGGTCAGTTTTATGATCTAATGAAATTATTCGAAGTGGGTGGCCCACCCTCAACAACTCGCTACCTCTTCCTAGGAGACTATGTAGATAGGGGTTACTTTAGCATAGAGGTTAGTATAAAATTATAAACTAATAATATATTACAATATCATATCTGGCTGTGATTGAAGGTCTTTTGGTATAGCCGATTCAATTTTATGTGCTTAAATCATTCCCAGAGTGCAGACATATGTTTGTAAGTAGTTATCCTGCAAAAAAGTAGAATTACATTATCTTTCATAGTGTAAATCTGAAAGTAAGATCTTTGTTTCTGTCAGTTAATAGACAATCTAGGTTCTGGTAGTTCACGTAGTGTTGATTCAAGAGCTTCATTTATTATTTATTTCCAATTTCTTTTCAGTGTGTATTATACTTATGGGCTTTGAAAATATTGTATCCTAACACATTTTTTCTATTACGTGGAAATCATGAATGTAGGCATTTAACAGAATATTTCACATTTAAACAAGAATGTAAGTAACTTGACTGTTTTTAAATTGGACAATATATACAGAAAACTGTTATTTATTGTTTATGTCACAATGACCTGTACTCATTGTAACCTGCTGTAGCACTACTTTCTTATTGTATTTTTGTATTATGCAGTAAAGTTGATATACTAGTAATGTGTTGATAATTCTTGAAAATTAGAATTCTGACGAAATTATTCATATATATTTATTATTGAAAAAAGTAATGGTAAAAAATTTGAGATGTAAATAGCTTACTTATCTCATGTTCCTGCCAAGCAATTAATTAACATATCCCAATCCTAACTCCCTTGGTCTAGTCTTAGCTTTGATAGTAATCACAAATTTACATTTTGAAGGTAAAATTAAGTACACAGAAAGAGTATATGATGCGTGTATGGAAGCCTTTGACTGTCTGCCATTAGCAGCTTTAATGAATCAACAGTTTATCTGTGTTCACGGTGGATTATCACCAGAAATACATACTTTAGAAGATATTAGAAAGGTAAGTCATCATCTGGTATTGTTTCCTTAAGGCTGCATTTTTTTACCTGGCTTTAGATTTGGATCGAGCTTGAAAAGATAGACTATTTGAAAATATAAATTGAATGATATCTTTGTGTTTTTGCCTTTAAATAGTCCCAAAAAAGGTTACAATATTGTGTAAAGATACTCCAAAATATAAGGTGTAATATAACAATAAGGTTCTATCTAATTAAACATTCGACATTTTTGTGGCTACTTATCAATTGTATCATGAATACAATGGATGACGTTTAAAAGAAATTAAGTATATTAAAATTTTGAGTTGAAGTTCTTTGTTTGAATGAAATTTAATATCAAACATGTAATTCCTCTTTTCCCCCTTTTCAAAAATGATCTTAAAAAGTTAGACATTAAATGCATGAAATATCAAAGAGCATAACCTTCAAAAAGGATGATAATGCATTTACATATTTGATGCATTGACATTCTTCTACATAGAGGAAAAATTCAACATAAGAAATGTGATACAAGTCTTTCACTTTGTTATTTATAAGTGAAATTCAAATCAAGATTTTGTGTCTGTTAAAGGAATGTCAAGTTATAATATGAATACTAACATTAGCAATGTCTTTAATGAGATTTTCAGAGCAGATGTTTTTAAGTCTTGATTGTATTTTCATGATTAGATAGACATTAACCCTGTCAGCTTGAAACATATGTTTAGATATTAACAATTAAAAAGCAATTTTGGATTCTTGGAATTCCTTATACATTTATTTCAGTTATTGATGCTAATGATCCCATCAACAAAATTAACGCATATTTATTCCTTTGAAAATCAACAACAACAGTCCAATAGATAGGTGTTCAATAAGATGTTCTTTAGACCTCATATATAGTAATTAATATCTCTGAATTTTGCCCTACATTTCATTCCTTTTGAAATAGATTATTCTCTGTTGTATCTTCCATTTGTGTACAATCTAGCAGGAGAGAGAGACTTGGTTTACTGTTAATGACCTGGTACCATAGTTTTATGGCTTTCATCAGCTACTATTCCCTGTCTCCAATAATGTTCCATGTACACTATGTCTATACCGATCTACTTGGGAGGTCAATATAAACATGTAATAACCAAGTTCAGGAAGTGTATTTTCTATCAGTCTGACACAGTACATGTTATATTGTAGTCGAACTAGGTTATTTAATGACTTGATTCACAGATTTGTTTTATGTGTGTCTTGCTAGAGGCTAGATTATCAGTATTCCCTGATGACAACTCCACTCTAATGATCTTAATAGCTACTAGCTCAATGACATTACAGTTTTCACTTGTTCTATTGCAGTACATCTATTGATTTTTGGAGTTAAAAAGAATGTGTTTTTCCTATGCTGAGTTTTGATTCAATGAATTTGATTATGGTTATAGATATTTTTCTGCCTGATTAGGTCAAGCCTTATAAAAATTTTAAACTTATAGCTAATATTGTGAAACATATTGTATGTAAGATTATTATTAGTCCAAGTCATTCATATCTTTCCAATGTTTTTCTATACTCTATCTTAACGGTTCTTAGCCCATATAATTGGATTAAGGCAGTCTGTTTATTTTATGACTCTTCTTTCAAAGATAAATTTTAATGGGATCATTTTAATATATTTTGACATCAAGATTGAAATATAATACTGCGTGAATATATATTTGAAGAATCAATCGGGTTTTATTTGTTCAATAATTGCATTATTGCAATTTATGATAATTGTAATTCACACCTTTTATTTTATCAAGATTTCTATTTAAATTTGAAGTCTTCAATAATTTTTTATATCAAGCAGTAATTCTGATATTACCCAAGCATTTACAATTTTAGAATATGGGGTTAATTTGAATAACTGATTACTATTGAGGAAGCCTGTCTCAAGAAAGTAAGACTTTGTGCTTGGACAGTATCTTTGATGTGAATTATATCTTTTTCACTAATGGCTGTATGATTATCATACACATTTTAACAAATAACATCTATCTGTTTCCCTGATTAATACAATGTTAATTGTTGAATATTCTGTAGAATAAAACTTCTAATTAGAGAGAGTGGTTGTAACAACAAAACATAATTCACATAAGTAATTGTGTTGTTATTTAATATGCTATATACTGTAAATGTCACTCTAGGATTATTAGGGAATAAGTAATCTCAGCATACTTCTATATTGTGATATAAGCAAGGCAGGTATTAATGTTGATATTGAAGAGGATTAAAAGTAGATTAGTTTTAATACTTCTATATTTCTTTTCAGTTGGATAGATTTAAAGAGCCACCTGCGTTTGGTCCCATGTGTGATTTATTGTGGTCTGATCCATTAGAGGACTTTGGTAATGAAAAAACATCTGAACATTTCACACATAATACTGTCAGAGGTTGCTCATATTTCTATAGGTAAGGATGTGTTAAATTAACAAAGATATTTATTGATTTTCTGATGAAATACTGGAAACTCAACTTTTTATTTTGCACTTTAAAAATATTTGTGTAATAGATGAGAAAGGTCAGTGTGTGAAACATCGATGAATAGAATGTCAATTCCAAACCATTCTTCAACTTTAACCTTTATTGTGAATTCCTTAGAGAGTTCTGCTTCATTTATACTGAGAAATTGTCAGTGATTATTCATGAAGTTGGTGTTATTAAGCCAGTGTTTATGTTGTTTATTTTAGCTATGCAGCATGTTGTGATTTCTTACAACAAAACAACTTGTTGTCTATTATTAGAGCACATGAAGCCCAAGATGCTGGGTAAGTACTCAAAATTGTTTCAAAGTCTAAGTAAAATTAAACCAGCATCTAATACTTCTCGGAACCCACCTAATGTTTGCATCAAAAAAATCTCAGCATTGGAGATGGCAGGAATAGATTGGCTGATGGATCAACAGATGATAGTTCAATAAAGCTGTCTTTAGACCCTTAAGTGGCTGGAATATAAATAAGAGATAATTAAAATCAGAAGTTTTGTCTTTTTTTGATTAGACTTGAGTTTCTAAAATGTCTTGATCATAAAATTTGCTGCAAGAAATGTATCAAGTGCTTTTGAAAAATATAGAAAGCATACATGTGTAGAAACATAAATCTTCAAGGAAGGTTTAATATGTATATATAGCACATTTTTCATGAGTAAGCCGGCTTAAACTCCAAGAACACTGGCCAAAGGGCTCTTGTTTGTTTCAATAAATATTGTTTAAACCAGATAGCATGGGGTTGAATTGGAAAAACACCATTTAACAAATTAGTCTAAACCAAAACTGGCAATAACATTACACAAAGAAGTGTGTAATATTTTCTGGTGTTGTCTAATGCTCCTAAGATATTTTGTTTTAGAGGTTTTGTTGTGTTATTTCAGGTATCGAATGTATAGGAAAAGTCAAACAACCGGTTTTCCATCTTTAATAACTATATTTTCAGCACCTAATTATCTAGATGTTTATAATAATAAGGGTAAGTAAGAGTATTTTTTAAGTATTTAGAATAGTAACTTTGATTGCTAATCAAATTTTCAGTGAATCTTGAAATCTTTCAAATTTCCTTGATATATTATTGATCTTTATTCTCAAAAGCTGATGATAAACCTGATTTGTTTCAGCTGCCATTCTTAAATACGAAAATAATGTAATGAATATTCGACAGTTTAATTGTTCTCCACATCCGTACTGGTTACCTAATTTCATGGATGTATTTACATGGTCTCTACCATTCGTAGGAGAAAAAGGTATGGAAATTGTTTATTTGTTTATGGCACTTCCGAGATGTTTCATGTGAAGTTATTTCACATTTATACAGTAGACTCAAGCATCCAGTCCCATTTAGTATACGCCCAACTAAAAATGTCTGGGTGTCCGACTAAATCAACTAGACGTTCAACTTTCGGACACCCCAAATTTCAGAGGAGATAATGAACAAAATATTTATAAAATGAAACTTCTTGAGGTATATTTAAAGTAATTAATTCTATTTTAAAGGCTGAATGTATTTAAGGCCCAAATCAACCTTCAAAATGGCCTATGATACTATTACTTAGATTGACTTTTAATAAATAGGATGGAGATGTATTCATCAGGAGAAATTGGGTTACCACTTTTGGATTACATCATTGCATACTGACTATAGCTGGAATATGCTAACACATGTTTCATATACACAATCCTCAACAAGACAGATGGTTTGAAAATATTCATCAACTTTCAATAGTTGGAAAAGTAAAGTAAGCAAAACTGGATGAAACTTATAATACAATATTATTTTATTTTTAGTAACTGAAATGTTAGTTAATATATTAAATATTTGTTCTGATGATGAATTAATGACAGAAGGAGATGAGAATGTTGATGGTAAGTTTTTTTCTTTATTTAAATACTAATATTTTACAATTACAGAAAATCAGTCAAATGTGTTCTGCAGTGACCCCACTGTAATACAACTTACAGAGTTCAAGTAGAAAATAGTTCAGATAAGCATGGTGTTTCTTCTGAAAAACTACTTAAATTTAAAATTTGACCCCGAACATAACTATTTAGATAGGAACTAATTCAAGTTGAGGTCAACATTCTTATTATTTCCAAACATCTTTATTCTTAAGATTTAAAGCTTAGAATGTAAATTTCAATAGAGCCTAGAAATTCTAACTTACTTGTGCAAAATGTGAAACATTTTCTAAACAAACTTAACAGTAATATGAACACATCAAATAAGTCACTTTATTGACTAATTTTTAAACTGCGTCAAATGTTTCCAAAGGATGAGTATTCCTTAGCCACTATATTCACAATTTCGTAAGAATTTCTAGGCCTACCTCTAAATCTTACTCTGAAAATTTCAAAATCTGATTAAGAATGATGGCTACATGCTCTGCTTTCTACCTTTTCTGCTGTTCCTGTTATTTTTAGATTCAAAGGATAAACTATCTGGTAAGTGGTTATCTCTCTACAGCCACTGTTATTTAACGAATGTTAGCTACCTTCAGTCCTATTTCAATCAATCAACTCAATCAATTTGATTGACAAGATTTGAAGAGTTTGAAAGGGAGTTAATCCAATCGCTCTTCTACCATGATATCATAGAATGCTCATCTTGTTTTTGTTTGTTTGTTAGAGAGTGCCCTACGAGTTATCTGTCCTATTAAAACTTTTCTAATGTGCATGTCCCTACTGACAAATGGAAGAAATTCAAACCGTCCATGTCTGAATCCATCCTTGAAAGAATGAAGTTATCCTTTGAAGTGGTTTGTTACTTACCTGAAGTTGATCTTACCAATAGAAAACTTTGTCATAAATCCCTATTCTCAGTGGTTTTCCTGTATTGAAATGTACCTGGTCTGTTCTGGGTTTATTGAAAATATGACAAATAACTGAACAATGCTGGATTTAGCTAATTATCCTGACTTCCCTAAATTTCTAATGACCAATTCCATTCATCTCATTTCGATTTGAAAATTGTCTGGAATGTATTTGAAAAGATTTTTTTATCTGTAAAATTAAATCCAGCATTGTAGTAATTGTGTGACTGAATAACAACCTAATTTAGAAAGAAAAGTAACACTGAAGTAGTGTGCAGTTAGAATTAGCTACTTTATCAATAAATAGAGACAATGAACGTGCTCTCAAAACATATAGTCATACTGCATAACAAGCAACTTTACTGAGTTAATAATTTTTTCTCACATGAAATTTGCATGAATTCAAATGAAATTTAGTAGGCTTACAGCTTGAAAAGTTTCATAGATAGACTAACATCTTATATGAGAACACCTGCTTTTCCTTATCACTGAAAATCCACAAATTACAGTGATCAATACCTCTGTATTCATTGTCTTTATTTAATGAAAATTGATAAGATTGTGATGTTGAACAATAAACTTCCCCTGAAAGATCACAAGTGACACTGGCTTAGAAAACACATTTTTAGATCTGATTCAAGCTTCCATAAACAGCCTAAACACAACCACTTAGGACTTTGTTATAACTAAATACTGTGTTTATATCAAGTATGTGATAGTCTTGCTTTGTAGAATAATTACTCAATTTAAACTCGAACTATATTTGCTATAAATTTTGACAATAATTGTGAAGTAGAAATGAATTGGGAATGATTTTGTTGTTAGTTATTCTCTAGAATCTTTCTCTTCTCTCTGATTTGTGTTTATTTGAGTCTTGCTTATGATGTGTGGGTGGTTGCCAGCTACAACAGATGTCAAGATGTTTTCAGTCCAAAACCAGTCAAATGAAGATAAGATTACAATTTGGTTTTTCTTTTTCTCTGTCTCTCTCTTCCGGACAATTCATTTCCGTTGTAATCTTACAAATATTTTTTTTCTAATGATGTTATTTTTTTATCAAAATGTAGTGTCCTGAAAACGTAACAAATTGTGGGAGAGTGTAATCTAAACCCTGTTTTGATTTCACTATCCCACAAATTACTATCACAAAAAAAAACAGTTTGATCAAAAGCTTGTTAGATTACAATGGATATGAAAAATAAAAAAGAAAAGAAACAAATTTGTATCGGTAATCTTACTTTTATTAGATTGGTTTAGAACAGTTTTAAGCTCAAGTCTTAATTTATGATCTAAATAATCAATTGAATAAATTTCATTACATCTATTGTATGAAAGACTTGTGAACAATAGTGAATAATATTACTTGAATAACGGTAACATATATTTTCTTGTTAGTTTAGAATACTCTTCTGCTCATATTATATTCATTTATATAGCTCTGCAAGCCCATGGCTTAATTATAGACAGGCTTGCTTGCCATCGTTCAGTTTATTTTCATTTATTAGAAGCTGCTGATACTTAGACTGTTATGTTTATTTGGGTTTTAAGAATGCATTTAATTTGTAGAATGGTAGAACTAGAAATTCATCAAAGCTGAGATGGTTATGGTTGAATCATTGAAGTGATATTAATATACTTGTATTTTATGCATCCAGGATATTTCTTAATATCAATAGCTGACTATACAAGCCTTTCAGATAGCAAAATATCTTTAAAGTCTTTTCATCGTTTTGTCTTCTGTAATGTTTTAAATCCTAGCGTGCCAATTCATTAATTGACTTGATATGTGACATCTTATTTTTTGCTTTGAAATGCAGATTGTTGAGGATAGATTAGACTAGAGTCATGTGTTATGTATTTTTGGTGACAGTATAAAGGTTACATATTAGACTTAATGTGGATTACGGAGAGTAGTCATGGCCATGTTCACCCTAATAAATTTCATATAATTATCTTGTCACTCTTTGTTGAATATGATTCTATTGATAGAATCCTTCGTTAATGACAAACATAAACATTATATTAACAGAATATTCTATTATATTTTATAGTCGCAGCAGTAGAAGCAAGAAAAGATGTTATCAGAAACAAAATTCGAGCCATTGGCAAGATGGCTAGAGTGTTCACAGTTCTACGGTAATCTATCAATTATATTTTTCCTTGCATTTTGTGAAAGTTTAGGTGGAATATTGAATTCCATCCTATTTCAAGCAATAACAAAACTCTGATTCTTAGACAGTTTTGATAGATAAAGAAACATTGTAGAAAAAAACACCTTTCTAATATTTCGATACTGATTTATTACAGAGAGGAGAGTGAAAGTGTTCTACAATTAAAGGGATTAACACCAAACGGTTTACTGCCACTGGGAGCATTGTCTGGTGGTAAAGAAACATTAAGTACTGGTGAGTATTTACTAGAACATTGCCCCATTATTCAATGCAAAATACAATATCAGATACATTGATTGTCGCATTGTAGCTTTTGTTTTGTAAGAAATATCATATTAGAGCAATACACAGTATTAGGTAATAAATCATTGTCTCTAACTGTATTCCATATAGTACCTGAGATAACTGGCTTGTAAAAATATATTATTCTTTGTATGAACTTGATATAGATGAAACATTACAATGACAAAATGTTTTCACTATTAAGATAGTGCTTGATACATCAGTTGCAGATCGAAACTGAAATACACTCGATTGAACATTAGTGTTCTCCAAATTGTCAAATGCTTAATGAATTTTCCTTTATTCCAGCTTTAAGTGGATTTGATCCAACGCACAAAATTAGTGGATTTGAAGAAGCCAAGTGTTTGGATAAAATGAATGAACGTATGCCACCACGAAAAGAGAACCTGAATACAAACAACAAAGATAAAGCATAATAAAACAACCATATTAAATAATGTCTGGATATCGAGGACAACTTGTGAAGTCCTGATCTATCAGTCACTTGTGCGCCACAGGAAGCTGGCTTCCTTGCTTATTGACACGTACTTGATAAATGTAGATTTTTTTTTAAAAAATTATTTACCTTTTGATCTCGCCAAGGTGTAATTTATTTTTCTTATTTAAAATTTTATTTGAGAGTCTAAATTGTTGAAAGTTAAGTTATTTGTTTCTCCCCTTTTGTTATTTTTGTGCTAAAAATGTCCTTCCAGAATTTGTGATAAGGAATGTTTCTCTACCCTTTATCTAGTCATCCTATCAGGGGACATAACTCCTATATATATATATATATATATTAGGAGGGGCAGCTTTCTGGGCAACAGTGACTGGATAAATATCAAGAAGAAATAAGAGGTCAGATGTGGAATCACGTGACAAGATGTTCTGGTGCCAAATAACCAGTGTTACCAAATCTACCTGTTTCTTTGACCTATTTCTTTATTCCTGAATTAAATGGCTGGATGTTGCTTAGATGGTTTCCTACCTTAACGTAAGGATTACACTATAATAAATGTAAGATGTGGTTTATCAACGTTGTTAACCCCTACTGTGATGGTATGAACTCAAAATACATGTGTTTTTTCTTTCTCTAGTGTTATATATAATAATTCATGAGTGACAATTCTTGTGAACCCTCTAAATACGCCCGAATATGAACATAAAAATCTGGCATTGCTCAGCTGTGAAATAAAATACTGTGGAGTACCTTCTACATTTTTTGGGATTTATTTTTTTTAGTGGCTTGTTCATCTGTTAACAGGAGAGCAAATGATTTCTGCTGTTCTGTTTCTGATATAGATTTTATTCCTTGTTAATTCTAGTTTCCCACTTTACACCTGCTTGTTTCATATTGATAATAATTCTGTATTATAAATTTATGGTGGTGTTTTTTTTTAAGAAATTTCCTACCTTTTCTGTGTATTGTAAGAAATTTAAAGCGTTTATTTCCATTGTGTTTATATTGCACAAGCATTACTAGCACATATTTCCAACATTTCCACTCTTTCATCTACTTCTAAATTAAGATAAAAACACACAAAAAAAAAAAGTTTCAATTGAAGTTTTTAGAGAATTGAACAATTTCATGCTTTAGCTACTATCTTCTGAAACATCAATTAAACAAGAAGAGGTGTAATTATATTTCTATGAATATCCAGAATAGCACACTCTCTGGTCAGTGGCAATGCAGCCCAACTAGCCATCTGTCTCAATATCAATGTCAACTATTGAACAAAGCTAAGATAATAATACCAGTGGGTGCATAAATATGATATATAAGATAATATATACTATAAAGATCTGAAAATATAAGCATACATTTCTTTAAAAACTACAGTTGTGATATAGTTGTTTATTTCCATTTAGTGCTACCTGATTATTTCCCTTAAAGTCTTTTGAACAAAGAATCTGTTCAGACGATATAACTATATGATATATATTATAAATACTATAAATATATATATATGAATGTATGAATGAACTGAGCAATTATAAACTTTTATCTATTTTGTATGAGTGATGAAATAACTGCTATTATCCTATTGAAGCTGCCGTGGTTTATGGCATCGTTAGAGATCTGTTTTATCCTAGATATCTGTAATGGATTGAAGGGTTATTCTTTGTTTAATTTAACTGTTCTTCCCTGAGATGGCAGTTACTTAAAATATCCCAACTGCTATATCAGGTTTTTCATGTATGTTTGTTGTATTTTACTGGAGCATTTTTTCCAGTGTTCTATATATATGTTATTAAATCCCATTCCCATTTTAAACCTTGATATTTTCCTATGAGATCACATTTATATCCCCTTGTTTGCTCATTATCTGTCAAAACTTATGGATTATACTCCATTTCTAATGTTTTATACCTTCTCCAGCTTTTTGCATTTCACAATAAAGCTTTTTGTATTTTTCATCTGTAGATGTTAGAATTGAATTTTACATTTTTCTTAGAACTGTAATATCACATGATTTCATTAAAATTGACACTTTGCATATTTTTGAAATATCCAACAAATTACTCACTAATATTTTTTTTCCCTAATTTTTTTTTGATATTTGAATGTAGTTGTTGAGCATAGTTAAATATTGAGAGTAGGTATTATGTTTTTTTTTTTTTTCATTCCCAATCTCCCCTCACTTTTCAGGTTAAATGTTGACTCTTTGAGCTTATTTTTCGTGTCTTTTACTTATTAATTAATTCATTTATTTATCTTAAAAGTATTTTGTCTTAAAAAAGTTCAGAAAAGCCAGCTTTCCTACTAAATTCTTAAAACAGGTTGAAAACAGCAAATTCACAACATATACAAAGGCTGGTTACTTCATTTTTCTAATATATTTGAATTTTTTTTTTCTAAAAAGACCTTCATCAGATATACATGTAGATAATATTGGGAATGTTGATTAAAATAAAATTGGATAGTTTAGTTAGTGATCTTATACTTTTATCAGCCTTGGTTTACTCAAAAGATTTTATGTCACAAATAAGAAAATTTTACTGTTTGTTTTCCTGTAAACTAAGTTTTGATTTTTTGTGAAACAAGAGTAAATCAAGCTGTGATCAACGGAAATCTCTTACTGAAATATGAGTACTTACATTATGACATTGGTGCAAAACTAGCGAATTAAATCAAATGGCTTTGAAAATAAGAACAAACAAATGGGATTTAAAAGAATATGTGTTATAAAAAAAAAAAAAAAAAAGGAGGTAAAGTTATTCTAAATAGACTATTTTCAGGTGTAATATGATATACTTAAATACAAATTTGGTTTGAAAAAAGAAATACATCACTTTGCAACATTGTTTTTCTAAAAGTTAACAATCCATTTTGCAGTACCAAATTCCTACTTTAGAATTATTTACTTCAAGCTGTAACAGAGGCTTATGTCTCCACTTTCACATGAAAACCATGTTGCTATAAAATGGCCAATCATAAGTGAAAAATCTACCAAAGTTACTAGTTGTCAAGGAATCCTTGTGTTAAAACTTATATTGAACAAATTTGTGTTTATTTATTTGCAGAATTTTCAACTTTTCTTATTTTGTTTACTTTGTCAGTTGTCTAAAACATTGTTGTAAATCATGCATGTATTCATAATTGTACAATTTGTGTTAAAAATTAAATTTTAAAAAAGCCAAGAAAAATTTAATTAAAAGTTTTAATTATGTTGTTATTATTTATTAAATTGATTATTGCCAGTGATTCCAACTCTGTTACTAGTCATAAAATCCTTTAAATGGCTTGTGCATCAATTTCATCATTCCAATTTTCAATCAGACATCTGTGGTTTTAGCAATTCCACTAAAACTAAGTGTTAAGACTAAGTGCTTGATGACCTTATTAATCTAAAATGCTTTATCACATGCTTCGTCACTAAGTGGAATTGCATGAACGACAGAATTGATACACACAAAGAATTTAGAAAACCTTTTTATTATCCCTTTTAGTGGTCAAGTCAATTCTTAAGATTTTCTCGGCGTTTTCATTTATAAGGGTTGCAGTGCTTTGAAAACCAAAGTTCCACATACAGATTATAATGCATCCCGTTTGATTCCAAAGCTTTCTCCTTCATGCTACTTGATATAACATGAAGAAGAATTTGAAAGTACTTCCTCTAGGCTATGGATCATGTCCCCAGCAATATTTGTTGTGAGAAAGGCCTACAGCGTTGTCCTAATAGAGATGATATTCTGATGACTTTCATTTAAAGATACTTTATTTAAAACAATTCTGTTTGATGTATACTCGGGACCATGATGGTGACATTTTGAAAAATCTGCAAACAATTGCATGGCATGTGAACAGATTGAACATGAACTGCACTGAGATTGTATAAAATTTGGTATCCAAGCCATAGTGAGCCCATAGTAATTGTTTTGATGTATACAGTGGTGTAACCTATTTTCGTGGATATAAGGATTCAACACCGAATTTCGTCTAAGTTAAAAAACGATTTTTTTTAGATGTCGGCAACTGCCGCAGAATGTGTCACCTATTTTCGTGTACAATGTTTGATCTATAAATAAGTCTAGAAAGACACGTATAGATACCGGGTGGTATAATTAACTCCTCTTAGTATTTATCTTTAATATCAATTCATTATAACTAGTGACAATTCCTTCAAAGAACCACCATTTAAAAAAAAAATAGCGACTGACAAAATAAGATACGTAGCGTGATTTATTGCTAAACAATATAAGAATATGGTCCACTTTGTGTTCCATAGAATTTTTCTGCTGACACGGAATCCGCTAGTTGATCACGTGACTTCATTCGTTGGACTATATTCTAGCAGACGACACTTGGAATCCCGATTACTGCTTCGGATTATAAGGAAATTCGGCCGATAATAAATGGTGACGTTTGGTAATAATTTACTGAAATCCGCAATTTTGTATTTGTCAAAGTATACATTTATACATTTTACCTTGCTTGAAACTACTGGATTCGTTCTACTAGCTGGCATTGTGCAGACAACCCATGTTTATCAAAACAAACTAATGCGGAGGTCGCGCAAGGTCGCTTATGTAAATTATTAAACATTTCCGGAAATACACGAATAATAGGTTTCCACGAAATTAGGTTACTTGACTTGTATACATTGCCAGATATCTCATGTGTTCAGGCCAGGCCAACAGCTCGCGACATTGAAATGAATGCAATTGAGTTTATGTATTACTTTTTTCACCTGATGCACTGATCGGTGGCTAAAGCTTGAAAAAAAGGATATGTATGTAAAACGAATCGATATAATTCCGTCATATGAAACATAACGTCGTGTCTAGTCGTTATGTGAAACTTGACCACGTGACAGGGAGGAGGAGTGGATTGATGGGAAACTACAGGTTTGGCGGTAATCTAGTGGACAATGATTGTTTTTTCCTCTGCAGAAGATATAACGAAGAGGAAATCATTAATATCTTTCCAGTGTTTAAGGCACCCACGCTAAAATGCACTCTAAGATCAGAAAACAGAGCAACATGGTTGTTTTCATAAATATAAGGATTAGGCCTAAGGAGGCTAAGGATGATTTACAAAACCAAATCAATAAAATCAGGGTCAAGGTCAAACGACGATGCCTGATCGCTGAACAACTGGCCTAAAGTGAGTAGGTCCATGCATTTACTTTAACAATTCAGTGGAGCCAGCCTACCGAGATTGGGGGACAACTGCTGAGGCAGAATTAAAATGTTGGCTACTCTGTGCCTGTGGGGGTTTTATACTCATAGTCGCAATTAAGCTTCACACAGGCCTATAGTTATAGCCAAGAGCGTCTTAGAGGGTTTTATCAAGAAAATTTTAGGAGAAATGAATTTCCTGCACCCCCTGCACCCCCATTGGCGCCGCCATTGATCTACTTTAAAGAGTGTGTGGATTGGAAAAGTTATATGATAGTCCTTGTAGATTAACTACAATATACATTCAAAGTTAGATGAGAAATGGCCTTGGCCTCTAATCAACTTAATACTAATGTAGGCTAAAAGACTTGTTGAGTATATTCCAACTAAATTAAATCCTAAATATATCATGATCGCTTTCTTATGCCGGTCATTCAATAAAGTAGGGTTCAATCCTTGTATTGTAATTAACACAATTGTATTATTCGGAGACATTAGTGTCATACATATATCACTGACTACCCGTTTGACCAACGAACTAATCTTGGTATGTTGTTGTTGTAATAGTATGAAAATCGTTTTTGTATATTTACACTAGGTCAACAGATCTATTATTATTGAAAGCGTATAGTCAGAATTCGTTTTGTGATTATATTTATTATGTCACAAAAAGTCTTGTACCGGTTTGGATATATTTTTACGATTAGATGCTAAACCAACCGATAAATTGAAAAAAGCTGAACAAGAAATAGCAATATTTTTACCAATGTCCGTTTTGTTTTGTTTTTAGTTTTCTGTTAAAAGAAAGACAATAGCAACACTTTTCATCATGCAAAATGTGACGTAATATCAATTTTCTCCTTGGGCGTGTTTGATTGTTAATAGGCCGTATTGATCGATACTACTTGATTATCCAGCGTTTTATTTTACCGCAGTATATAGAGTAAATATTGTGTCTGGATAGTATATTTACAACTAATGTGGGGCTTCCCGAAGTTAGAAACCTTGCAGTGTACCAGTTTGAATGACTACGTCATTTTGACCTACATACTATTGGAGAATATGAATTGAGGAATGACTGATCTATTTTCCATGAAATGTGCATATTATTGGAACATTGACTTTCACGATTTAGATAGGATTCAATACATTTATTAAGGTTGAGATGGTACTATTTTTAGCACATTACTCAGTGTAACGAAGTGATAGCCTGTGAGGATAGGTTTTGATAATTAGTCCTAATGAACTTGGTGTTGAAGGAACAGCCAGGGGCGATCATATTCTTTACTTGTGAGAAATTTAATAACATGACAATCTGGTAATAACCTATAAAATAAGATGGTTTCAGCATCTATTATAAACCTTGTGATACTGTTATGTATAGTGACAACTAGTTTATGTAATTTTCATATGGTAGTGGTGAAAGATGACATTTCAGACGTATTAACGGAAGAAAAAAGATTTAAACGAGATGTTGATCCACAAAACCAGATACCAACCATTACAGATTTTTACGTTTCATCCAGTGTGAACGCCAGATTTGCGACAGTAGTCATACAGAGTCGCGTTGTCAACACGAACCCAGTTAGTTTGCATGCGACATTCCGTGTACAATTACCGGAAACTGCCTTTATAGCCAACTTTAGTATGGTTGTAAACGATACTGTTTATGTGGCGAAAGTCTTTCCCAAAGAAGAGGCTCAAAAGAAGTTTGATGAAGCTAAAGCTAAAAATCAATCCGCAGGTCAAGTGCGAAATGTTAAAACAGATACATTACGTGGAATGGATGATTTTATGATTGACACTAACGTGAAGGCAGGGGTAGAAGCAGTATTCTATCTGACTTATCAAGAACTGTTAGTACGTCGAGTAGGATTATATAAACAACGTATTGTAGTACAACCAGGCCAGATTGTAAAAAACCTGACAGTTAAAGCAGTCTTTAATGAAAACCAGGGATTCGACAAGTTTTTCTATACCTTTCCAAATTCTACAACAGTTTTTACAACTTCGTCCGATGTGGTGACTCTCACCGCTACACCTAATACCAGAACACTTGTCTACAAACCAACAGAATTACAGCAATCGGCATCCTCAACATCCAAGGGTCTGGATGGAGAATTTGTAATAAGTTATGATGTACCGCACCAAAGAGATGGAGGGATGGTGATAGTGGAGGATGAGTATTTTGTTCATTATCTGACTCCAACTGGAATTGAAACTATGGATAAGAATATTTTATTTGTTATTGACGTGAGTGGATCAATGGGCGGCCTTAAGATTGCTCAAGCTCGAAACACAATGCTTAATATTCTGGATAGACTAAACCCTAATGACTACTTCAATATCCTAACATTTGAATCGGACATCAAAAGTTGGGTAGAAGTTCCAGTTGATGTCAATTCAAACACTATCGCCCGTGCAAAGGAGTTTGTGAAAGCTAATGTTCAAAGTGGAGGTTCAACAAACATAAATGGTGCACTATTACATGCTATTAAATCATTAAAGAGACTTTCAGAACAGAGCCGACGAGCTCAGGTCATAGTTTTTCTAACGGATGGACATCCTTCAGCTGGTGTTACAAACACGAAAACCATCAGAAAAAACGTCTACAAAGAAAATTATGGACTAGCTTCCATATACTGTCTTGGGTTTGGATTCGATCTCGACTTTAGCTTCCTGAAAAGTTTAGCTTATGAAAACGGAGGCTTTGCTCGAAGGATTTACGATGAAGATGATGCAGCTAATCAGATCGAACATTTTTATCAAGAAGTCAAAGATCCTGTGCTCCAGAATGTTGTGGTCAGCTATGATAGTGATGCAGTAGATTTACAATCTACGACGAAGAAGTCCTTTTACCAATACTTTGAAGGTTCGGAGATTGTAATCGCTGGTAAAACCAAAACAGCCGACGTTCTACAATCAGAGAAACTGAGCGTAGTTGGTTTGTCTAGAAATGGAGATATTGATTTGCCAGTTGGGCAGAATCAAGTGATTGTATGGTCTGATAATGAGGGTTTCACCGAAAAGTTGTGGGCGTATAAAAAGATTAAGGAATTACTAGAAGAATACAATGTGCATGAAAACGACACAGCGAAGAGTTTAGCTCTAAATATGTCTTTAGAATATAACTTTGTCACCCCATTGACATCATTTGTGTTCGTTCAGGAAGACCAGTATAAGTCGGAATCAAATAAAATGCATCCTAACGTGAAGGTATACGCAAATCCAGGATATAATTTTTGCCCTGGATTTAGAGTAAATTATCTGTCGTCCTCATTGCTCGTATTTATAGCTTGGTGCCTTATAACTGAACGTTAGTTCGTGTTATCCATGGCTGTGGTCAAAACATTACCTCAAAAGCCAGAAAAAAAACTGTAATACGCCGCCTGCGTAATGTTGTCCCGGTGTTGTTTTGAAGTATGCTACAACACATAAAATAAAATGGTGTATTTGTTGGACATGTTTATTGTGCAATCAGTGGCGTGTCTGGGAATCTTTAGTTGGGGGAGGGGGAGGGGGGGGGGGGGAGGGGGGTTCTAACACTACGTAATTTGATGAAAATTTGGAAAGTCCGCCCCCCTCCCCTGGCCCTCCGTAGAAACGCCACTACGTGCAATTACTCAGTTATAGGGTCTACATCTAGTTCTTCACCTGGGATGGATGTGTGGGATGAACATCACCTGCGTTATGATATCCCGGTGATTATTTTTGAAGAATGTTGCAACATAGAATTTCGGAATAGTTGGTCACGAAATTGTAATATTTATTGAAAATCACAAGGGTAAAATTACGATGGATCGGCATTATTTTTTCTATGATTTATATGAATGTTTAGTATCTCCACTTATTAAGCGGACCGGTATTTGCTTAATTTGATATTCCAAAAATTTCTTTTTGAATAGATCCTGGAGTTATCTTTACTAATGTGGATGGGACATTGAATTTTCATTCTTAAAAATATGAACAGCTGAAATTGAGTTCTTTAGCTTATCAAGTAAAGCAAATATCGTCTGTGTTTACCTATATAGAATGTTTTAACAGTCTTATATAATGTGTCATTTAAAATTTTTACAGTGATTTTTTACTTATTTTACACCTTTTTTGGTGTAGCATATATATATATATATACATATATATCTAGACATATATTCAGAACGTCTAGCTGTAATGTCCGAAAGGTTGAAAAACCTATACTATGCACCATTTTGGACACATCACCTCGTCTCTTTGCAGATTTATACTAGTATTTGGAAATTTGAATAAATTTTGTATAATTTCTTTTTAGGTATTGTATATACTTTTGATATGTTATGCAGAACTTTACTGTGTATATTACATGCATATTTTGTTAGATATGTTAGTGTAGGCCTACCCAGAAACAATCTGCGACATGCGCGCCTTTCAGTGCATTGACGGTGCATTGAGTTGCCGGAACTGCGTATTATTTGCGATAAAGCGAAGTCTACGGCAGATAGATTTAGCTCTAATAACACTATTATTTCATTAATTTTTGTTTGTTGCTATTTATACTACCTAGAAAATAAAAATGGTCGTATTAATATCAATGTTTTTCTGTGTAATAGTATTATAAATTTCCAGTCATATATTGTTTTTTTGTTTAATGTTTTTGGCTGTAGAGGACATGCCCCATGTGACTGCAGTCATTCCCTGCCATTCTCAGTGGTTGAACCATGCTCAGATATCAGGTATCGAATGTACCTTTAACAACCATGATAAAAGAGAGGCTATATGACTTAGATAAGATAAACAAGATAAGATATATATACCCGATTAATCCGAAACTTAGTCTTAAATAGCTATATAGACTGTTATCGACTTGCAATTTCCAGCTTTTGACTAGAAAGCAAAATAGGGGCTTTATAAGAGATAGCCACTACGGACTATATCTGCTTGTTGTAAGATAACAGTAAAATGTGTTTAACCTCTTATATTTTACTCTAGCTGACTCACAGGTGAACTTCTTCGTTTAGTTGTTTTTGAAACTGCTGCAAAATATATTTAAGCACAGCTGTAGTTACATTTAATGACAGAAATCAAAGTACCTTGAATTTGAAGAATCATTTAGCCTCAATGAACATTTGTAGCTATGATTTCCTCCAAATAAGTCTTTGTAACGACCCAGTTGAGTATCATTGCATCAGCCGTTACGGAGGGTACTTTTAAAAGCCAAAAGAAAACATCGTTTTTCGCAGATTAGTCGGCATCACGATATTATCAACGATTATGATGAATCTGTGCAGTCAGACATACAAGAACACATTTAGATGTTATTTTAAAAGTTTATCACTTTGACCTACTTTCGAATTTGAAACTTTCAAATTCTGTACAAATATTTTTCCCCTCTAAAATGAAAATATATAAAGAAATATCTTTCTTGCCATTGAAATTCGTCTTTGATTTTGGTTATAATCGTTGCATGGGTTAAATCATTTTCTTTACCCCTGTATATTTTCTTCCTCAGAATAGAATACTACAAACATGTCCCAAGGTGAATCGTCTGTTTTTCTGGTAGATGTCTTCGCTGAGAATCCATTTACAGGGAACCCTGCCTTTGTTTGTCTGTTACCATGTAATCTTGTAAGTTTATAGAATAGTCTACATGAGTGCGAAAAAAAATGTATTATAAGCTTTGACACCTTTTCGTCTGAACTAGGAGAATTAGATAATCATCGAGGCGGTCTTGGAACCATGCATGAAATACACCATTAACTCTAAAATTGATTGTCTCCTTAGGAATAGGCCTACGTGAAACACATGTGTTAATGGCGGACCGAAGGCATATCTGAAAGAGCGGGCGGGGGTGAGGAGTTTGCCCGAAACTTTTGAAGGGTTGGGATGTTGGGCGGAGGAAGACTCCGAGCGTGAGTCTGCGAAAACACTACTTGTCTGCTCGAGGTTTTCTCAGTCGCTGCCCGAAAAGAAAATATTTTTAATCGGTCAGGCAAATATCTCATTATTATTATTTGTTGAAATATGTAAATAATTTATAGAATCTGAGTGAAGAACAGATGAAGAAGATATCGGCAGAAATTGGATGTACTGCAGCCTTTCTCTCTAGAATTAATCAACATGATACATTTACATCAGGTACTTCAACCAAGACTTTATATTATTATTATACATTTAAGACAGAAATCCTGTTAGGTGCAGGATCAATTCAAATACTGAAAAGTCAATTTCAGATTTGTATAAATTTTATATATAAGTCTATCCTATCTTGATATCGACATGTCGGGATTTTTCTGGTATTGAATGTGACACATTTTGAAATTCTGCATAAAAACTACCGTAAAATATTAGAAAATAACCTGACATCCTCTTGGCCTAATACATTTCAAAATCTATGTTTTTAGCCAGTAAGTTTAAACTAAGATGGTTTACATCCACGACAGAAATCAAACTTTGTGGACACGCAACGTTAGGAACTGGTGCTGTATTAGCCAACTATTATGGTAAGGTTATATTTGACACTTTGATCTGTTTTATCTGGTGATGATTTAAACCTGAGAAGCACTCGGAATGATGATTATCTTTGGGATCTTATTGAAGAAGTTCTTTAGACAACTAAAGTGGCACCTCTGTTTCAGGATTATGTATTCATATACGTCATGATAAATAGCACTGAAAATTACGTCATTTGATAGGCTATTATGATTTGGTATAGGCTCGATGGAAACGGTGAGAAACCAAGATGGTGATGCATGTTCTAATACTCATATTTCAGATAACAAATCGGATGGAATAACATTTGTCACATCAGGTGGTGAGTTGGTGGTAAAGAAAGAGGGTAGTAAACTAGCTCTAGAGGTTCCTATTGGTATTTCTGAACCGATAGTAAGTAAATTAATTATCCTACCTCAAATGGTATTGAACTTGGTAAAATGAAAACTGACTCAAAATCAAAACGTAAATCTGTAAGTCTCATATTATCCATTATCTGAAGAAATTATTATGTCTCCCCTTTTTGATTGATAGAAGAACAGCAATATTCCATACACCGCTGTACATATTTTGTATTAGAATAGTCACCTAGATGTCCTCAAATCAGTTTCTGAGGTTGTCTGACCGCACTCTGAAACCTTATGTTGTGTCACATGTTGATAAGGAATATACGCTCACTCCATCCGGAACACTGTCGATATCTTTATCTCTGTGTTAAAGGGCTAAGGAGTATTTTACCCACTCTTATATTCTCGGTGTACAGAAAAAGTGCAAATAGATTGTTTTATTTGCAGGGTAAAGACAAATACTCAAAGCTGATTTCGGTAAGTTGTTTCTGTAATGACAAGTTATTTTGAAAACAGATTACCACTGCCAGACCAAGACCAGATAGTACCGGTGTCCCTGCAACATAAGTGATTCAATTCCAAAAACTTGTACACCATGTCAACGTGCCCCTTCTGTCATTTTGTCACTTTTCCAGGCTTTTGGCGATATACCAACAATAAAAGAAGTAGAATATTGTAAATCGTTAAATTACATGCTGATTGATCTACAACAGACATGGTCAAGGTGAGTGATCTATAGCAGCTGTCTGCTTTTGATCTGTTTTTACACTTGTTACCATTCGATTGGAGTAGATTTGGTCATTATAAAATCTACTCCGTTACAAAATCTCCTCAAGCCGTAGAAAATTCATTACATAATCTGATTTATTTTATCCCTTACTTAAAATCATCAAATGCCAATTAACCACATAGTCACGTTGATTTTACATCGTTTAACTAAGTAAAATCCGTGCCATCTTGGGTGTATGTTTTACCAAGAAGTTAATTGCAGGAAAGAGTTTGAAAGTTGGGGACCAGATATACCGACTATACAAGCAGCTGGTAGTGATGGACAGCTAAAGATAGTCATGATTACCATGAAAGCTGATCATGATTCTCATTATCAAGATGTCGATGGTAACAAGTATGACTATGTCTGTCGAGTTTTTGGACCTTGGTTAGGTGCTCCTGAAGACCCTGTTACTGGTAAGGCTGGTTGTTATATTTAACCAGATAATTTCTATGAAATAGAGGTAATCGGCATGCCGTAAGGGATAATACAGTCTACTGTAATGTTTTCGAGCACCTTGAGATATTCCTTGATTCTTGTGTTTGTTTGTTTGTTTTTTGTGTATTCGAGTTATATTATGGCCTTTTGTATAGATCATATGTAGAGGACTCTAATTTGAGCCACCTTGAAGACTATTTGTACTGATCTTCATTACCTAAATTAATATGAGGTACGATGGTGTATTTCTTTATGCATGTCCCTATTTGTATTGTATAAATATATCCCTATTTATTATTGTTCAATTTTAGGTTCAGGACATGCAGTACTGGCTAGTTATTGGTCAACTAAACTTGGTAAAACACAGCTGTATGGTAAATAATTTTTAGAAAAAAATATCATCTTGAAAGAATCTCTGGATCCACTCTTTTTTTTTCACGTTCTTATATGAATTTGTCAATGTGATGAATATGTATGAATATACTTTCATTTAAATATTGTGTGGTAGTTCTCTTGTACATTCAATAGGATTCTTATAGTTTGCTTTTGTATTTACAGCAAGGCAGTGTTCACCAAGAGGTGGAAATGTTAATATATTAGTAAAAGGAGATAAGGTGGAACTAAAAGGATCTGTAACAAAAGTCTTACAAGGTGTGATGAATTTATAACATGGGACGTAACTCTTTTATCAACTTGTGTAAAAGTTCATCTTGTCCTATAGATATGTACTATAGTCACTTTAAACGCTTATAAACATTTAATTTTGAAAATTTTGTCGAATAGTATATAAATTTGAAATAAATTATACTGGCAATATATTGTGTAGTACCTCCCTGCTGACTACTTCAACAAACGTCATCAACAATAATGATCTAGACACTATATCCTGTTTTCTATCTACTTGCCTCTCCCAATTAGAATCTATGGCTGTTTGTTTCATGCGATGATCCATGCCGATAGTCCTAAAGACGGTCCATACCAATAGTCTTAAAGGTGATCCATACCAATAGTCCTACAGGTGATCCATACAAATAGTCCTAAGCTGGTTCATACCAATAGTCCTTGAGGTGATCCTTACCAATAGGCCTAAGGTGATCCATGCCAATAATCCTACAGGTGATAAATACAAATAGTCCTAAGCTGGTTCATGCCAATAGTCCTAAAGGTGATCCTTACCAATAGGCCTAAGGTGATCCATACCAATAGTCCTCAGGTGAACCTTACCAATAGTCCTAAGCTGGTTCATACCAATAGTCCCAAAGGGTGATCCATACCAATAGTCCTAAGATGACCAATACCAATAGTCCTAACGGGTGATCCATACCAATAGTCCTATGGTGACCCATACCAATAGTCCTAAAGGGTGATCCATACCAATAGTCCTAAAGGGTGATCCATACCATTAGTCCTTAAGTGATCCATACCAATAGACCTAAAGGTGATCAATACCATTAGTCCTAAGGGTGATCCATACCAATAGTTCTAAGGTGATCCATCCGAAGGTGCATACCATCGTAGATACCAATAGTCCTAGAGGTTATTCATACCATTAGTCCTACAAGTGGTCCATACCAATAGTCCTAAATGTGGTCAAAACCAATAGTCCAAGAGGTTATTCAAGATTCCTAAAGGTGATGATACCCAGAGTCCTTCACTTGATTCATTTCAAACTTTTAAGGTACCAATAGTTCTGTAGTTTTTTCTAGGTTAAGCAAACATTCTAGTTAAAGGGAAAATTTGAATGGTGCAAAATATAGTCGTCGCCAATACATTTACGTAAGCCAGAAAACCCCTTGAATCATTCGATATCTAAATTTTAAGTTTTAAAGTTTTAGTGCAATTTGAACTTTAAAATGTAGTAGTCCATAAATCATTGAAGGTATTCGTGAAGACAAGAAGTTATAATACATTTTATTCACCAGGTGTTAGAGTGTGACAGATTGGGTGATTTGATGAAAGATGTTATGGATGGAACCCCGGTATATTGATATGATGATTTATCTTTTTCTTAGTAAAGTAAAAGTTCAAACCGTTCTTTACTAGTAATAACGTGTTCACAGTCACATAAAGTGTTTTGCAATGTTCGAAAACCCTTTCAACAAAGCATTTAAAAATCAGCATTTGTATTATTGTATATATTTTTAGCCTGGAAATAATACGTGTATAGTACAATTGATATGAATGATATGTGACCTCGATGACCTCAAACAATCAACCAATGGCAAACTGTCTTTCTTATTGTCCCATGAAAACAGCACAGTGATTGGACAATAATTACAGGTAGTACAGGTAGCTATATTCTACTTGTCAAATCTTTACCAACTGGCCCACCCGTCCCCTCCCAAATCTCTCAGTATTTTGAAAGGAGGTTTCAAATTTTCCAACACCAAGTTGTAATAAGTCTAAAGTTATATAGTGTTAGAGGGAATTATTAAAGGAATACTGTGATATACACTAAGGATATTAAGAAAGTATAACGATTGATTGGTAACCAACAATATCAATATTCTATCACAGGTAAGATTTCAGCTAGGCCTTCTTCTTTTATTTAACAGTTGACTTCATTCACTGCTTCACTGCTCAATATTTTATACCATAAACAGTTGGACAGCTATTATAGAGGAGTCATTGAGATTTAGACAGTCCATGTTGAAAAAAGTTGAAATCGTTTGAAAAATAGCTACAATTACAGTAAAATCTGTAGACATGGATAAGGTAAAGTCTGTAAAATAACAGTTTTCTATGCAGGTGAAGCCATATGATTACTCTCTCATCTCTCTGGTCCACTAATCTCTGTTGTCCACTAATTGAATTCTTACTGCAGTATTGAAATGTGATTTCTAGATTAAAACATATGAATGCAAAACATAGGTTCAGTGCAGTTGTGCAATCTCTCCATAACATAGCTTAATGTGTATCTGTATGTTAGACTATATAAGTTTTTTCTGAGCAGTCTTATCATTAACTTTACTTTACAAAATGAAATCTTGAATACATTGGAAGTATATAATGCTACTTATGTATCAAATAATACCAATAATAACTATATTGATTATTTCAATGCACCATATTATTACAACCACCTCATGGTCTTTTTCATTTATTGGTACCAATTTTTTCATGGTAGGAGTTACGTTACAATCAACATACTCATCTTGTCAATGATTCTATTGGTAACTATAGAGCCTAATGTCTGAAATCTGATAGTAGCTCTATTTAATAGTTTTTAAAGGTAGAGATAATATATGATTTATTACTATATAGATATTATAATTTATACAATATTCGACCAATATAGGTATGAGATATCACTATCATATATAACATTTAAAACCAGCATATAAACCTCAATGTGTAGAGCTAGTGAGGACTCTTGAAAATCTGAAAATAATTTTATATTCAACAGGATCTATTTTCAATTGTGAATGTATTTTTTTTCATTTGAAAAAACAGAATCTATGATATCTATAAAGAGACAACTGTAAGATCCTAGACATAATAGTCCTTCTATAGATACTAGAATACAATATAAGCAATATTAGCTATATAGTCTCTCCAAAAGAAGTAATGCAGTTGCAGAGTGGCATAAGGTGTTCAGGAATAGTGAGAATCTGTGTTAGATAGAATTGGAGGTTATTTATTCATTTAACAACATTAGAAACATGGTAATTTGATCAATAGTATGATTATTGACATTGTCTGTAACATCTGTTGTTTAAGTATAATTTTCATATGTTATATTGGGTGATAAATTCATGTATTTGTAATTATATTTCTAATATACAGGGTGGTAGAAATGTGTTGTGAATTCGAGATACCTAAAAAGGAATAATTTGTAAATAACATTCAATGATATTCTAAATTTCTGCTCTGTTACTCTTTCAGAGCATCTAATGCCACTCTTTAACTTTCAGTATTAACTTGACGTCCCTTGCAGAGGGTCCACATAGCTAATAATGTTTGACAGGCTTAATATAGATTAAGTCATATTAGCTTAAATGGGGTTTCAATTTTCTGAAACTTTAAAATCATAAAAATGGTAAAGCTAGATTAACAGACTGCAATATCTTTCTTTTTGGCAACAAAAGTTTGAAAATTCTCTCAGTACTTACAATGACATAAATCAGGGTAATAGGGTGTGTGACAACTAAATCTAAAAATATAACAGATTGAAATGTTTCTACTTCTGTTGTGCCACCAATTAGTCTCATTGTTAATTATCCATTATTCCAACAACCTGTCAGACATGTCTTACAACTTTACACATTGTCTTTACAAGTCTAATGAATGGGTTGAACCTTGTTTTTTTGTGAAAATATGTTAAATTTAAAAGAAGTAATTTCTAGAACCGTCTTCCAAAAAAAAAGACACGCATTTACCAAAACAGACAGATACCCAATGCTTAGGACAAGGTAGTCTTTTTCTCAGGAATTGAATAATAACTTATATTTGAATAGTAATGACTTTTGGCCTTTTTTTTAAAACAGGCCGTGATCTTTTTTTTAAGTAAAATTTGGGGATTTTTATTATTGTAACCAACAGTTTGTTTTGTGGTCTGATTCTTTATTTTCACGTTTTATGTTAATTAAACCATGGATAACATAATACTACTGAAATTTGATTTCTCACCCTTATTTTGTTTATCATTTCATATTTGTAGAAAAAATGTTACTTCTTGGAAAAATGGAGACGCTCCTATGGAGTGCCTTGATATCTATGTATATAAAGATTACTTAGAAAACTAAGATTAGTTATGCACTCAGGTCCTAAGTTCATTTATAAAATACAGTATCTGAATTACAAGACTTTTATCTTCAACAGGAAGTGCAACAATGTGTTTTTATTTATAAAATTATTTATGATTTATTTAATATATAGGTAATTCATAGTCATCCAATATAATTTTTATCAACTATAAGATCTTAATATCAGCTGTAAATCCATAACTTTTCACAAAATGACAATTTTCAGTAAAATTCCATTTTAGGTGAAGGTGCTCCATAGTACGGTTTAAATGTCAATTAATCTGTGAGATCCAGTGGTGTATTTAAGCGGTAATTTTTGGGCCATGTTGAATTGTCAACTGTTTAGTCTGTTTTGTGATCAGTGCTTTTGAGAAGCCTATTGAAGAAGGAAATTCTATGTCCCTAATATTGATCTCAGAAATCCTTTTTGACTAAAGTCAAATTGTCTGACTTTAGTTTGATCTAAATTCTATTTGAGCAGCCGAATCAGATACTATATTATCCTGTTTGTCAACTGTCTTACTATATTAAGTATAAGAAAGTGATTATATATACTTGTCAACTTGATAATGTATTGTGAAATATATAGATGATAGGTATATGCTTATAATGATATAAATAACACATAGATTCAAGACCACCTCTTATATATCTTGTTCTATTTATAACTTAACATCCCACCCTTTATAGAAGGTAACTCCCTATTGCAAAATTTCAATTTTTTTAAAGTGTTCACATGCTTGAACAATTTGATTGGAGGGATTACAATTTCTTTTCAATATTTATTGATGACGTTATTGTTATGTTATGTTTTAATAAATTCTATATAGATCTGAAATCTCACAGAAATTAAAAAAGGTTGAATGATGTGTCGTTTGTCTAAGGTTAACCAAGGTCAAAAAGGGTTTTAAAGCAGACTCCATCATCAGAAGACAAGATAAGAGGCTTTCACGGAAATATTGTTTTAAGATATCTTATTTAAAACTGAGTAAATATCATTTATAAACTGAAATTATTAAGAGAAATAACTTCTGTAAACATTGATGAGAAATACAGTAGCCACACCC